TATTGGCTCCAATTGGTCATCAGATGCAAGGGTTGAAACAGTTGACGTTTTTTACTACACTCGCTTCGTTGTCGTGCGCGACAGTCTGTTTGTATTCGAACACTCATGCTCTACCGTCGTCTCTCTCACGCAACACGAGCGGTAGAATAACATTCGAGCTAAAAGAAAATTATCAAAATAGCTATCATATGGCATGTTTGATTTCGTTGTAATTCCTCAATTTGGTGTAAATCAAACCATTTTTGATCAGAAATATTATTTCTAGGACATCATTACTTGCTATTTTCAGAATTCAAACAAGTACAACATCAGCAGCTCTTAATATGAGAAAAACTAAAATACATACATACGTGACGGTCTTCGGCGAAAGTGTCGTATGACAGAGCCTGTCATACGACATTTTAGTTTGGTACTGTACTATGATAGCTTGTTTTGCAAGTGTCGGAGGCAAAGGCAGTCAATTATCACAGAAAATGTGTCGACTACCGTGACCGCTTACAAGACTGATCAGATGACTCGCCGAAAGATTCGGCGCTGCGTAAATTTAATCAAAGTAGGCCTTGATTTGTTTAAATACTAAATGAAATGTAGTAAAATGGTGAAATTTGATATATTAGCTAGTCTTTGGTTCTAATTAGCAACTAAAGGGTGATACGGTCAAAATTTGGTCAACATCAACTTGACGTATTTCTTTCAATTTTGCATTTAAAAAACCTGAACACCCCTCATTTTGAAGGTGTGTGTGTGTAGAATGTTGCTCCTATTTTGATTTTGGAATTCACTCTTCAGTTGTCAAAATGCCGTCCAAGCAAGAAGAGCAGTGTATCAAAATTTTGCTCGCGCATCGCGAAAATCCGAGCTACTCGCACGCAAAGTTGGCAAAATCGCTAAAAGTTGCCAAATCAACCGTTACAAATGTAATTAAAGTGTTTGGGGAACGTTTGTCGACAGCCAGGAAGTCTGGATCGGGGGGAAATCGAAAACCGGAAGCCGCTGAGACGACAAAGAGAGTTGCCGGTAGTTTCAAGCGAAACCCTAACCTCTCTCTCCGAGATGCCGCAAATAAGCTGGGTGTATCGTCTACAACCGTGCATCGAGCCAAAAAACGAGCCGGACTATCGACTTACAAGAAGGTAGTGACTCCAAATAGCGATGATAAACAAAATACGACGGCCAAAGCGCGATCCCGGAGGCTGTACACGACGATGCTGACGAAGTTTGACTGCGTGGTAATGGACGACGAAACCTACGTCAAAGCCGACTACAAGCAGCTTCCGGGACAGGAGTTTTATACGGCAAAAGGAAGGGGAAAGGTATCAGATGTTTTCAAGCACATGAAACTGTCAAAGTTCGCAAAGAAATATCTGGTTTGGCAAGCCATTTGTACCTGTGGCTTGAAAAGCAGCATTTTCATAGCTTCCGGGACTGTCAACCAAGAAATTTACGTGAAAGAGTGTTTGAATAAACGTCTGCTGCCTTTCCTGAAGAAACACGGTTGTTCCGTACTGTTTTGGCCGGATTTGGCATCTTGCCATTACGGTAAAAAGGCCATGGAGTGGTACGCCGCCAACAACGTGCAGGTGGTTCCCAAGGACAAGAACCCTCCCAACACGCCAGAGCTCCGCCCAATTGAGAAATACTGGGCTATTGTCAAGCGGAACCTAAAGAAGACCAAAAAAACTGCTAAGTGCGAGCAGCAGTTCAAGGCAAACTGGCTTTCTGCGGCGAAGAAGGTGGACAAGGTGGCTGTACAAAATCTGATGGCAGGGGTCAAGCGTAAGGCCCGGCAATTCGGATTTCGAAAAGCGGAAGCCTAACTAAATATTTTTCCTGAATTTTATACTAATTGAACTTGAAAAAGAAATTTAATTTGATTTTTTAAATAAACGATTTCACCGATTTACACGCGTTTTCCCTTGACCAAATTTTGACCGTATCACCCTTTATGTAGATAGCCCACCGGAAGATCTGGAACATTCATAAAATGTACTGCTTTGTAAATTTGATCAAAGTAGGCCTTGATTTTTCTCTGTATTTATATGCGATGTGGGAAAAAGGTGTTTACTGATATATAAGCTGGTCATTGGCTCCGAATGGTCACCAAATGGTCCCCCAGAAGATTCAGAACATCTGTCAAATTTGTGTGTGTTAATTTGATCAAAGTAGGTTTCGAAATGCAGTAACATTTTTATTTTTGATATATTAGCTGGTAATTGGCTCCGAGTGGTCACCAGATGGTCCGCAGGAAGATCCGTTCAAACTTTTGGGGTCTTAGACAGTGATAGGCTACTGGACTCGATTTCCAAAGCGGTCTAAAAAATGTTGAACTTTAGACTTACCTAAATTTTTTTCGCTGTTTTGAAATGTTAGAATTCAATTTCAGCCACTGGAAGACCATTGAAAAGTACCTGTAAGAACTGGCTTTAAGAATTAATTTTTTAATGTTCATAAGTTGACATGCTGACAACCGACATGAATGGCCATAGCAAAAACAATAAAATTTCTGACCAAAGCAGTCATATAGCTATTCTGGTGTATATTGCTACAAATAATTTTTATATTGTTTTTTTTTTTATATTATTATGAACTAGGTCATACCTTCTATTTTATCTAGTTCCTTTAGGCTCAATCGCGTTAGGTTTGCGGAGTCGATAATTAATTGTTCATTGTTTTAAACACTTATTCCTATGTCTAGTAGGGGAGGTGTCCAATTATTCCTTACAAATTTAATCAATTTTACGGATGTTCGGGATCTTTCTGCGGACCACCTAGTGACCACCAGCTAATATTTTTCCACATCGCATATAAATGCAGAGAAAAATCAAGGCCTACTTTACGAAGCAATAAATTTTGCGGATATTCCAGATCTTTAGGCTGGCCATCTGGTTGCCAATTAGAACCAATGACTGGCTAATATATCAAAAATCACATTTTTACTACATTCCATCTAGAACACATCAAGGCATACTTCGATCAAATTTACACAACAATCAATGGCGGACCATTTAGTGGCCATTCTCAGCCAATAACCAGCTTATATATCAGTAAACACCAGTAATGCAGAGACAAATCAAGGCCTACTTTGATCAAATTTAGGAAGCAGTACATTTAACGGATGTTCCAGATCTTCCGGTGGGCTATCTGGTGGCTACTTAGAACCAATGACTGACTAATATATCAAAATTCGCAATTTTACTACATTCCATAAAGTAATAGAACAAATCTTTCGGCGAGTCATCTGCTGACTACTCGGAGCCAATATATCAAAAATCACAATTTTACTTCATTTCATATAGTTGCAGAGAATAATCAAGGCATACTTTGATCATAAATACATAATAATCAAGATTAAGGTTGATCCGGGTCACCGGATGGCCTTTCCAGTTGACAGTCAGTATTTAGAACCAGGTTGTGGGTTGATTTTGTTAAAATATTAATCAGCAGTACCCATAGATGCCGGTTGCTGTGGATTTCCAGCATCATCTTGTTCTAGACGACTGGTACCTTTTCTCTCCCCGATGGCCACTCGAAAACCCGGAATAAAACCGGAACCACTTGGCCAATCTGTTTAAATTTTTAGCAAACCATAATTTTGAACATTTTTCTACTGACTGTGAAAATTTCAGCCTATTTCATGGCATAACAAAAAGTTATATCCATGCAAACATTGCTATTCGTATGCCTGTTCGTAAAAATAAAAACCGCATAAAGTGCGTTAGGCCCTCCCCACAAATAAGGCAGGTGGTGTTCGTATGAAACACTAATAACTTTTCGGAGTTAACTCGGATTCACATTCGGTGTTGAGCCAAGATGTTCCCAATACTCCAAAAGTTCTACATTTGGTACACGAAGAAAAACGAACCAACCCAACTACAACGCCACCTAGAGCCGGGAATGTGAAAGTGACTTGTTCCCCCATTATTATTTTCCCCATACAAACTTCAAGCCCTTTGAGCGAGGGGTTGCCGTGAACCAAATTACTTCAAATTTTGGCAGACTACCATTCCAGGGGGTAGCGTTTGAAATTCCAGACTTACTTTTTCCCATATATCGCTGAAACACTCTAATATACATACGTACATAATAGAGCTCAATATCAATACAGATTCAATCATTAATGTACGGTTCACATATCTCCCACGTGGAACACTATCAACAGAGCAGTTGTTGAAGCGATGGAAGCTTTGGATGAGCAAAACTCTGAACTCTGCGCCAATAAAATAGAGTTAGAAACTAGAGCACCCGAGGGTGTGCCACCAAAGTAGGAACCCTCTCTGCTTGGACCAGCGGCGCTGCTCGTGTGCCACTCCGCCGAGCTGGGCCATTACCGGAGTGAAATATGTTAATGTTTAAGAATATTTGCCATGCATCGATAGATATTTGGTCTCTAGTTTGGTGCGGAACGGTTCTTACTGCAGTTGGAAAGTGACTGGAAGGCAACTACGAAAAATGTAGCATCCTCATTTTTTCTACTAATCTCCCATTTTAGCGAACAGCACGCTCAAAAAGAAAATCAAAGGAAACTTTTATTTCCACTCGTTAACGGTGCTTAGCGTGTGGAGTGAAAATAAAAAAATATATAGGGGAAATGCAGGTAATGTCGGCCTAAGTGTCCCTAATTTGGGCCCATACATAAATTCAGCAATCAACTAAATTTTCAATAGCAACCAAAAATATCCATTAGTAACATCCCAATAACGCGTTCATCTAGATAAAATTGATAAATAGCAGACTTTTAGCGATGGGCCCATATTAGGGACATGTAGACCGACATTACCTTCATTTCCCCTATATATATTCAAATGTGACAACCAGTGAGCGTGAAAAAGGGTAGTCCCGACGACGATCGTTTGCGGTGCGAAAAAGTGTGAAAAAAGTCATTAATTTTCCGTCCCAAGTGCGGACCGGAAGCTGACCAACGGTGACGTGTGGCGCAAGTGTGACCCCGTGGGTGGTTTGGGTCTGCATATAAAGGTGTGAAGGTGAAAATGTGATAATTGTTGCGGTGGCAAAAAGTATACCCCGGTTGGAAACAATAAAAAAATATTAAAACTCGCAATCGGGTGGAACCGGTCGTACGCGGTGCTTTGGAGTAGGAAATTGCGTGTGGCTGTGTATCGGATTGGAAGGTGAAATTCATGTGGAGTGCATGCGGGAAATCTGTTCAGTGAAATATTTGTGCATCAAGTGGGGTATTTTGTGAAAAAGCTCGCGATTGGATTTTCCCGAATCTCAACGAGCAGACGTGGTGCTTTGACAAGGATAACAAACTGGAGCTGTCTGTGTTGTTGAAGGATTATCGTCATCTCGAGTGGGTGTGCACGTGAAGAGCCAGGAGTTGAAATTAAATGTGTTAAAAAAATGAAATTATCAAGGTAATGAGTTTTAATGTATTTTGTTGTTGTACTGGGTGGGCCCAGGGTTTTATAATTTCAAATTAATTGAGAATGGTCTAGGCAGTGCTGGTAAATATCATGTCCGTCATGTGAGAATGACAAAACAGGTTCTATCACTATCATGAGACGAAACTATATGTCATGAGCATTCCTTCATTTTTCAATGACGAAGCTCTCATGAGATTGATTCTCATATTTTTTGATAAGCAAATTACTAGTAAATTTAGATGCATTGCCACAAGCAATAGGATTTAATCGTGAAAGTGGAAATGTTTAAAATAAATCTGCAGCACAAGTAAGATATATATTAATAAATGAGCTCATTATTACATTTTTAACAACACTGTCTCGTTCTGTCAAGACAAAAAAAATCGATGAGAATTTAGAGAAAACAGGGTGTCGACTCAAATCGAAAAAAAAATTCCCTGACTTTCCCTGACTTTCCAGTCGATTTTCAGAAAAAAATTCCAATCCAATCCAATCCAATCTTCGTTATTTTAACCTAAGAAGCTACAACGTGATGTGCTTTATTATACCGTAGTGCAAATTAAGGGTAGTTTAAAATGAGCAGCAGCGTAAGCTTTCGAAAATATCAAGAATAGCATACTCATGGCACGTACAACAGAACTTGATACTAATACAATTTTTACAGAACATATGGCCGACTACCTACGAAGGATGTGAATAGGCCTAGGGCTATAAATATATATTATAATACAATAATGAATAACTACTGCTCACAACTAGGCTCACTATTCATTACTAAGTAATAATAGGAATTTGTGTTCATAATTTCACAGCCAAATAAAAATCAACCCGTAGACGATCTTTTCTCTTAACATATAAATTATTGTAAAATAACAGAGCAGTGATTATTCTTGCTTTGGCAACCGAACCAGAGGATGCACTGCTCATGCATTAGTCAGTTTCGTACTTTCTGGAACTCCATATGACAACCGCAGACATGGCAAAATAATTTAAGCTTAATTATCATTAACATTTTATTCTCTCAGTGAGTTCACAATACAACGAGAAATTGCAAGTTGAATATGTTTATTTTCGGATTACTTTTAAAAATGTTTATCATTTGAGCAGAACAATTTTCTCCTGCAAACTCTCGGCTTCTTTTTGAACATCTTGAGCTCTCGGAATCGAGAGCTTCTGTCATACGACGATCCTTGGCTACATGGAAAGCGAATGCGATTTTTCGAACTCGCTGAATAAGTTCATTCAAAATTTGTAAGTTTTCCAACCCGCCTGAACGGAAACGGCAAGTTTGACTATTGTCACAAATGACATCAAGATGCCTAACCGCAGTCGATTTGATTCTAACTAGATTTCAATCCGACATATAGGCTTCCTCAGATCGGGCTTTTCCGCTACCACTGCCGCTGTCATAGCGCTTGGGCCTTGACTCTTCCCTCATGTTTTCAACAAGATATTCTGCATTTACCGAAAAACCTCTCTCTGCATTGGCGTTGCCAAGCGATAAGCAGCAAATCATTTTCACAACCAACAATAGTTCTGAATACTCCGACCAATAACCTGTGCCAAAAAACGTCCAGTCGTTCCTTTTTGCGATCATATTCATCAAATGTGCATTTACCTGGGCAATATTGTTCAGATGATCAATATGAATGAACCCTTCCATGATGCTTCTAACCATTTGAGACATCGCGTTGTACAAAAAAGGGATTGTATGACATTCCCCCGAAAGCCATTCCCCAGAATGCTATTCCCCAAAATGTACCATTCCCCAGAAAGCCATTCCCCAGAACGGACTATTTCCAATAAAACCATTCCCCAGAAAACCATTCCCCAGAAAAGTATGCCATGTATTAGATTGACTATTTTTGTTTATTATAGTCACTCCTGGAATCTTCTTTCGCGTATATAAAAAGAATGGAAAAATTTCTTAATGGATCAAGGCGTTTTCCTTTCTTTGAAAATATAAGAAAAGGAAATCATTATTTTTTTGGATAAACGATAAAGATGGGAATATTCCCTTCTTTTAATATATGAAAGAGAACATCATTAATTCGTTAAATATATGATAAAGAAGGGAATATTTCCTTCTTTGAAAATATAAAAGAGAACATCATGAATTCGTTAAATATATAATAAAGACGGGAATATTCTGTTCTTTGAAAATATTAAGAAAAGGAAATCATTAATTCTTTGGATATACGATAAAGAATGGAATACTCCATACCTTAAATATGTAAATAATATGAAAAAGAAGGGAATATTACCTTCTTTGAAATTATAACAAAAAGAAAGATTTAATTATTTGTATATACGATAAAGAAGGGAATATTCCCTTCTTTGAATAAATAGAAGAGAACATCATTAATTCGCTAAATATATGATAAAGAAGGGAATTATCCCTTCTTTGAAAATATAAGAAAAGGAAATAATTAATTCTTTGGATAAACGATAAAAAAGGAATATTCCCTTCTTTGAATATATAAAAGAGAAAATAATTAATTCTTTGGATGTATGATAAAGAAGGGAATATTCCCTTCTTTTAATATATAAAGAAAATATATAATCAATAGGTCGTATGAATAAAAGCGTTTACTTTACTTTCCCCGTAAGAAAAGCACGGGAAAGTAAAGTAAACTCTTTTTATTCATACGGCACATTAGCTTTTCGCAAGGGATTCGGGGTAATGACCGTAATGATAGTAACGAGTGGAATAATTTTATAAATTTGTAATCGGTAGTTCAACCGGTAGTTGCACCGATTTTTTAATCCATCGCGAAAAATTCTTCAACTCAGGTCGAACAATTCTTCGATAAGGTTTAAAAGTTTCCGACTAGTTGAATTGGATTGCATAATAGACCCTTTGACTTATTAAATGATGAACGAAGTGCTCGAAAACTTGAAGGTTGTAATTTTATAAAGAGCTAAAAAATGGTTTGGAATTGATAAATACATTGTTCCATAAAAGTAAACATAGTGTATTATCAATAGTAAAAAAAAAGAAAAGTGAAAATTACTAATTTCATCATCTTTTCTGGGGAATGGTACATTCTGGGGAATGCTTTTCTGGGGAATGGTACATTCAGGGGATTTTTTTCTGGGTAATGGTTCATTCTGGAGATTTTTTTTCTCTGGAAAATGGTGCATTCTGGGGAATGGTATTCTGGGGAATAGCATTGTGGGAAATGGCATTCTGGGGAATGGCTTTCAGGGGAATGTCATACAATCCAAAAAAGGCACCATAGGGTTGTCCGTCTGAGATTTGCATAGAAATGGCTCAACTTGGACAGCAACTGATTTTAAGAAAGCTAGCTTAATACTACCTTCAGACTTCAGAGATATAACATGTTATAACGGTTGTCAAATAATTGCAACACAGAAACCACCATCAAGATAGTGCTATAACATGCTATAAATCTGTAGTCTGAACGTACTATTAGCAATCAGCAGCGAGTCATTCAAACCGTTTTTAACATCTTGGTAGGAAGCTGACGTTGGTTCGATTTTGTCTTTCTGGATGCCTTGAATAAATTTTCGTATTTGCGGAGTAATTTTGATTGCCCTCTGAACAGCAGCACTATTTTCCAACCATCGGTGACCGCAAAACTTTAGCGGGAATATGGTAGATCCAGAATACATTGTGATAAACGCTCGTCTTCCTGGTACATCTTTGAAGATATTGTAGATACCCGCAAATATTTGACAACATCCCAACTGATACTGCGAACACTATCATTGAATGCATTATGCAAAATATACAGCCCACAGGTTCCCAGATCGATCAGCTTCTCGCCACCCATGAACACTTGCAGGTTGCTTGTTCGAAGAGATACTGGCAAGGCCGTCCAAAAACGCAGTGAGTAATTCTGATGCCCGGGATCTTCCCAAAAACTTTGACGTCATGCACTGATAAAATTTCAAATATTGTTTTCATGTGTCCCACACATGATTTTTGCAATGTGATCAACATTATTTTTTTCCCTGATCTACACTAGAATTCCCTGACATTCCCTGACTTTCCAGATCATAAATAGAATTCCCTGACAATCCCTGACTTTCCAGGGTTTTCCAGGTAGTCGACACCCTGAGAAAATCTCTGTCATTGATTTTCGTCTTATGATAGTGACAGAGCCTCCTTTGTAAATATCGCGTGGAATTTTACATTGACAATGATATTTTCCAGCACTGGGTCTAGCTAAAGATTGTATGGAACTGAATAACCAATAAACGAGTTGCAGTGGTTTTACGAAATAGATGAACAACGTTTTAATGATAGTTGGAAAATACTTCTTTTAAAAATGGATCATGAGGTTAAATTTCACTAGATCATACGTCATATGTTATTTAGTATCAGCATTGTTCCAATAAAAAAAACGAGCAGCGGTTGTTAAAACATACATAAGTATAATCAAACAATCATTGCCACTATATGACTTGGGAAAACTTTTAATGAATCAGAAATCTGCTATGAATAATCATTTCTATGTCCCCGAAACTATACAAATTTTCAAAGTACGATATTTTAAAACGTTCCTAAGTACACAATCTCGCAAATTTGTCAAATTATGAAATGTTGTAAAATTATCTTAATCCTAGATTCTTAACAAATGTTCGAAGCCTGTAAATTTGTCATACTTTTCAAACAATAATGCAATCTAAAAAATTTATCTGCGTCTGAGACTCAAAAATATCGTTCAGGGTCGTGCAAAAAATATATCTCATCATGGATTATGATCTTTTTAGCTTTATCCGAGATCTGAAACAAGAGCAAAAACTTTGAAAATCATCTCTGGTACTGAGTAGTTCCATGCCAAATAGCAAAAAAAAACTGCTTATCGTCTTCCTATTGGTATTAAATTTGCATAATTGATTGTTATGGACAATCAGCCAGATTTTTTTTTCTTCCAAAATTCATCTATTTTGAATATTACAAAAAAACAAGTTATAACTTGAAAACATCATTTCTAATCGGAATGACGTCTGAAGCAATGCTG